GCGCATAATAGGCCCACCCGAACTCGGCTGTGATCAGCAGTTTTGTACCGCATTTGTGTCATTGCAATTCGTTGCCCCCTTATGTTAACTGAAGCGAGGGCAAAGCAAAGAAATCACTGCCATATCCACTAAGTGAAAGATGCTAGAGGAGCTTGCTCGGAGGTGCACGAGACGTTTCTTGGCGAGACAATTTCTATCGCAGGACTTGTTAACGAGCCAGCGCATAATGTGTATGTCGAAGACAGCGTTGTTAAGCACGTTGCCCAACTGGCGCTGTACAGTGCTGGCCACGTCGATCGGCACGTTAACCACCTGCCTCTTTATGCCATACTGGCCGCTGCCATGAGTCAAAGGCTTAATGCTCACAAATGGCAGATGTGGAGCTACCAGGCGTCCTTTAACGGGTTGAGAGCAGGCAGGCGAGAGGGCTTGGGAGGATATCAGTACCCGTGCCTAACACCCATTGTAGGAACTTGTCACGTGCTGTTGTGCCTAGGAAGTGACGATCGTCGCCCTGGTGAGCTCACTCGACGTTTTTTTTTCCTCTTCTCCTGGCGGCGCGTGTTCGCGTGCAGCCCAGACCGAGCACCACTAACACTCTCCTCTTTTTCTCTCTCACATTCCTTTCTCTACCCCACTAGCCATACCCCATGAGGCATTGTTGAGGTGACCACCTCAGAGAGATACAGTTACCAAGACGTTTCTCGTCACTTCTCTTTCATTCAAATCCACTTCAAGGAGGCGAGCACATGGACCATCGAAAACCAATGATGATGATGATCATGATGATGATGATATGTGGCTGTATCCTCTGAAGCTGTATCCTCTGATATTGTGTCACAGCCGGGTAAAAGAAAAAGAAGAAAGGGGGAAGGAACACCTTGGGTGGTGGCAACCATCTAGTGAGCATTGTTGGATTCACTGGAGATGCAACCTCAAGCGCAAGAACAGAAGCGTACAGCTGCCGACATAGGACACGCCGCTGATATAGAACAATGATAGAGGTACTCTTACAGCGCAAATACAGGCACACCACGAAGAAAGACGACACATACAAGCGCTGACTATCAAATGACTTCATTTGGGGAATCGTCAATGCATATACACCTCCTTGGCAGCCTTATCCCACATGCGCCATGCACTATACAAAAAAAGACGCACAAAAGAGTAATCAGAGTTGAAAAATGAAGCAGCGTATTACATATGCAAAGACATGAATTCAAACTCAGATGGGCGCAGGGACTGAGACGTGTCACTTTTGCAAAAATGATCACTATTTCTGATATGATAGGCTTCCAAAGCCAGCAGTGCATGCTCAGTGTTGCTCTTGCCAAGGAGAGACGTTCGTTCAAATGGGGCCTCACAATTGCAGCAACCGTTAACACGAGACACAAGATGGGCTCTTTTATCTGCATTTTTGTTAATCTTTTGTGAGTGTTTCCTGAGCAGCTCGTTGACGCAGCTTCCAGTTTTACAGACATAGATCTTATCGCACGAGACCAGGATTGCATAAACCATGCCGACAGCACACAAAATGTAGGCCACACCGTGTTGGATTTTGCAACCTCCTCTGCTCATGCCGCACATGCGGAAGCATAGCTTGGAAAGCTTGTTCAGGACACAGTGGCATAGTGACTTCATGTCTGCCTGACACTTTCTTGAGCTGATGGGAGATCCGACGCATATACGGGACCACCGCAGGCCTCACTATGTCCTGTACAGCATCCACCCACTTGGTGGATTTTTTTTTTTCTTTTTCCTGCATGAGCGTTTCTGCCTCTGTAGTCAAGAGTGACATGGGGAACCCATGTTTGTAGTATCGCAATAAGCCTTTGCAAAAATCGTGTCGCTCAGTATACTGAAAAATTTGCACTACAGCATTGCGAAGTCTGATAACTTGTGGCAATGTTTCATTGGCAGGAATTCTATTTTCTTGTGCAAATGATAATGACGAAGACACGCAACAGAGACACGTCCGTTTCTACTCACCTTTCGCTAATACTATTGTCCGAAGGAAGATGCCAGAGCTGCCGCATCATGTACTCTTTCACTTGCTCACTTTGAAAAATATCTTCACAATTCAGCTAAAGTTATGATAATTACAGCAATGAGAGCTAACGGACTACAATGACAGAAAGGGTATGGGGGTATTATTTGTAATAATTGTAATGTAAATGTGAAGAAAAGGAAATCGACGAAAACATACTTGCCGGTCGTCAGCGCCAAAGCTGCGACTTTCAAATAGTGCGTCCGGTGGTTTATTAACTGAGCTAGGGCAGCGGTCATCCCTCTGTCCAACCTATGCATGTGCACTTAATTAAGGGGGCACACTGGTCTTTGGGGCCGAAAAATTGCCCAAAAACTCATTTTTTTTAGATGTCATTTTTGAAATCTACAGGTATTTTTCTATTAGTTTGCTCAGTTTTTCCTCCGAAAAGTTGGTACTTGAACAGTAACAGCTACTTATAAAAGCCGTACGGGCCCGATTTGGCGAGATTCTGACGCCAAAATGGCAATTTTTCAATAATTCCCCGCAGCTGCGCCACGGGCAGTATCGCAGTGATCTAGGTCTCATTTGAAAGCGCGGTCTTCGGTCTTCAATTTCCCGCCACTCTGGCTCCTGTCCGCTCATTGGTAGAGTAGAAAACACGCGCCAAAAAAAAGGAAAAATACGCGTTCCTATTCGCCGGCGAGCGCACGTGACTAAACAGCGCAACGCGATTGGCCGCAAGCGGCGTGTGTCGCCTGCTTCGCGCCGTCGGCGGCGCAGTCAGGCGCCATATTGCTCGGACTGAGAACGACGGATTAGCCAAGGATCGCGCGCGATGTGGAAAACCGGAAGAAAATTCCACACAAGGAATCAGTACGGCAAAAAAAGAAAGAAGTCGCTCCTCGAGAACTTCAAAGGCCGTTCCGCGTCAGCGAGGAGCGCTGAACGAGCAAGCGACCCACCTTCCGTGGCCAGCGGCGAGGCCCCTGATAACATAGGCCTAGCACCTCCGCCGCCGTCCGCTCAAGATAACGCATCCGGCAGCGGCCGTGTTCGTCTTGACACAGCAGTGCTGCACCCGTTAGAAGTGGCAGAGGTGCGTCGCAACGCCGAAAACAAGCTGCAAGAGCTCGCTTCAACTGGAGCAACACAACGCAAGTGCGGCCTGTTAGCCGATATCGCAGCCACGCCGCTGGACGAAACACGGTTTTTGATCGTGAGTTTGGACCAGGTGAACAAACTGATGCGTGTAGTGAAGTGCAAATTGTGCTCCGGTGATGTAAACATCGGCAAAGAGGACAGGGAGTACGGCCTTGTCGTAAAGCTAGTGCTTACGTGCGCGACCTGCGGCGATGTGTCGGTGGCATGGAGCTCGCCGCGCGTTGACGGCGAGAGCAAAGCAAAGCCGTTTGTACAGAATGTAAAAATGTACAGAATATAAAAATGTACAGAATGTAAAAATGTACGTTTGTAAATGTAAATGTAAAATGTACGTTTGTAAAAATGTACAGAATGTTTTACCGTTTACATTAAACATGGCACCGTTGTAGTAAGACGGTAAGTCGGGCCAGTTGGTTAGGATTCTTCGTGAACTTTCTTACAGCGCAACACCAGAAAAAATACAGGACAGGGAAGGAGTAGAACAGAAAGAAAAGACGGCGCTGAAATATATTTCTAGTACCCAGGGCTCTTTTCTATGTGTTAACCCGAACCTTCACAGCGCCGTCTTTTCTTTCTGTTCTACTCCTTCCCTGTCCTGTATTTTTTCTGGTGTTGCGCTGTAAGAAAGTTCACGATGGCACCGTTGTGTTTTTTGCCATTTTCTCAAAATGCATATTTTTGACGTTTAGGAAATTCTTGAGAGGTACATCTCGGCATGCGGTGCAGCTAGAAAGATAATTTCTTTTGCATTGTCAAGCTGAATGTTTAAACCTTGAAGTAAGGGAAACAGATTTTGCAATTCACGTTTAAATAATTGTTTAAGTAACTGGTTAGCAGGCATACTTTAAATTGAGAAATTAGAATTGATGTAAACTTGCATGTGTGATTGCCAGACAAAAAAACTGCTTCCGTCATTTCATTCTCCACAACTTCTAGTATCTATTCATGCCATGCTGGTAATTTTTTGTTGACTAGTTTTTTTTCTATTGTTCTCAAGAACAATCACGAAAGATGTTTAATTATCTCGGGAACTAATTAGCTTACATCAAAACTAATTGGATATTTGAAATCAGCTAAAAAAAACTGAACAAGCCCATGGAGTTTCATTAAAGTTGATTGGAAAGCAAAAAAAAAGTTTTTAAGACCAGTGTGCCCCCTTAAACGTGGGAGTGTCCTCCAGCAATGCCAGTAGCCCTCACGGAGAGTGTGGAACATTACTCTTTTCCCTTTCACCGTTACGTAGTACACGATATCATTATAAGCGGATAGCTGACCAATAATCCCTTGCATACTACTTGAAGGCATCAAGTTTGCCTGTAGGAGACTCCAGCTATCCCTTGCATACTACTACTTCAAACCCCAAGGAGTATTCAAGCAACTATTAGTGAGATGCCAGCTCGCAAAAAGATCGCATGCTACGCGACTCCAACAGAGAAACAAGGTAGAGACTTGACTACTGGTGGTACTGATTCACGCTGTTTAGTTTCAATACACATCTATGCCCTGTAAAGCGGACAGGGGGATCACCATCAGCATGGCTCACTGACAGAGAATCGGACACATTATTTGAGAGCCGCAGGTTTGGTCCCTGCCGGCAGCAAGTCATCTTTTCGTCCACTTTTCTTTCTTCACATTTACATTAAATTTACTCCTAATAATATCCCGTATACTTTTGTCGGCATTAAATTATACTTCCGTATATGTATACTTTCATTGACATCCGGCAGCAAACTGGATGCTCCTATTTCTGATTAACCTCCCTGCCTTTCCCTCATTTTATTCTTTCTCTTGTCTTACAAAAAAAAACAAGAAATTAAAATTACACTTTTTTTCCTGTCTTTTTGCACAGACTTGTCTGAACTTGCTACACCCTCAAGTAGGCATTCGTCGTGGGACTTCGCATGTTCCTGTGGATGATCTGATTGCAATAAATAGAAAGATCACTTCTCAAGTGAAGCCCTGAGGGCATAGTCAAGTTGGTGCCAAAAGGCCCACCCCGGCATTCAGATGGTGGTGTTTGGTGTGCATTGTCCTTTCTGAGAGCGAAAGACCTCTGCCTCATACAGACTGATAAAGAGGGAAGCTTTCTTGTAAAGGCATTTTTAATTAGAAAGCACTGCAGACTGTGTCAAAAACTTTGTTCCTGTTGGAAAGTGGGAAGTTTCTGAGAAAACTAAATTTCGGGATTTTTGTAAAAGAATTTAAATTAACAATTCTTTCGCTAGCGAAAAGCATAGAGAATAGCAGAGGCGACTCTTTGTGTTTCTCACGGCCAAGGCCCATAAGACAGAAGTACCTTCTAGAACAGTCGTCAGTAAACTGGTGTGCTGGCAACAAAAATGTTAGCCTGTTTTTGCAGAAGAATTTGAAGTCGCTAGTGTACAATGATCCATTTCGTACGAAAAATGCAGATGTGGTGCAGTTCTTGAGTAGGAGTACTAATGCGGGGTATGGATTCTTAGTTTACATAGAAGATTTGTTTTATTCTGATTAATATGTGGGGTTTGACTTCCCCAAACCACCATATGATTATGAGAGATGTCGTAATAGAGGGCTCCGGAAATTTCGACCACCTGGGGTTTTTTAACGTGCACCCAAACCTGAGCACGCGGGCCTACAACATTTCCGCCTCGATCGGAAATGCAGCCACTGCAGCCAGGATTTGATGCCGCGACCTGCGGGTCACCAGCCGAGTGCCTTAGTACAACGAAGAAGGTGGTTTTGCTCGAGAGGCGCAGCGCAGGCAAGTGAAGAAGACGACAATCATAGCGGCCTTCTCTGAGAGCGTCTCTATAAGTTCCACTGTCCGTGTTTTTAAATAAACCCTCTGTAATTTATAACCCGCGACACTGGTGGAGGAGCTGGGTACTACCACCTCATGGTCAGCACCCCTGTGAGAAGCCCCGAGTCCAGCCCTACGAGACAGCCACGCGTGGAGACGCCGGTGCACCGCTCAAGCCGTCGCCTTCAAGGTCTTCAACCGGAGTTTGGCCTTTTAAAGGGAGCAACACTTTCGACAGCCACTCCTACTCAAGAAATGGCAAGGAGTCCTGCACAGGTGACGGTTCAGAATATGCGCATTCCTGAACCATTTCATGGCCGGCCGAACGAAGATGCGCAAGACTGGCTTGAGCAGTTTGAACGGGTAGCTAAATCGAACTACTGGAGCCTCGAGGGAAAGCTCTTCCACGTATACTTCGCCCTTGAAGATGGCGCGAAGACGTGGTTTATAAACCGGGAGGCAACATTGACGACATGGGAGGAGTTTTGCCGTCGGTTCCTTGACACGTTCGGTAACGCGGACCGACACGAAAACGCACAACGCCTTCTTGAAGGACGCACCCAACAGCTGCATGAAAGCGTCGCCATGTTTGCTGAGGATATGGTGCGTCTGTGCCACCGCGCGGACCCCAACATGCCCGAGGCTCGAAAGCTAAGCCATCTCATGAGGGGCGTCAAAGAGCAGCTATTTGTTGGTCTTGTGCGCAATCCACCGATAACAGTGGACGAGTTCACCAGGGAGGCCACCGCAATAGAGCGTGCGCTGCAGCAACGGTACCGACAGTCTGATCGCCCGGCCACCGGCGCAGCTGCAGGCGCCGCCGCACTTACCGCAAACGACGAGTTTTCTCTACGCCACCTGATTAGACAGATCGTGCGTGAGGAGATCGCGAAGGAGAACGCAAAATACTCATTGCAGTCACAGGCGCCCCCGCAGCAAGAGTCCACGGTAGCCTCCGTCGCTGAAGTCGTTCGCCATGAACTTCGACAAGCGTTTGCCTCTCCTCAGCAATATTTCGCTCCACCGCACCGTTCAAACTCGTATACCTATGCAGATGCTGTGCGTCGTCCATTGGCTCCAGAAGTATCCTACCAGCCGAACGGATACAGCTATGCAGACGCTGTTCGTCTACCCACGCCCATGCCAGCACCGCAGTACCTCGAGCCGTATCCTGTGGCAGCCTGGGCTCAGCAGGATTCTGTCAGGCGACCCTATATGCGAAAGACCGACATATGGCGCACTGCGGATCACCGACCACTGTGCTACAACTGTGGAGAGCCAGGGCACATTTACCGTTTTTGCCCACATCGCCGAGCTGAATACCGCGGTAGTGCACCTGCAGCTACGCGCCGACAGTTTGACGAAAGCCATGCCCACATCGACGACGACCAGGCTGGCAGGCGGGAAGGTTCTTCTACCTCCCGGACGCACTCACCATCCCCGGCTCGCTTTGGTTCACCAAGCCGCCGTAGTTTTGCCGACGCCGTCAGAGGTCGCTCTCCCAGCCCACGGCGGGGAAACTGAAAGCAGCGACCTCTGGGGGAAGGTTGCAAGCCGTCGAATTGCCGAAAATCCCCCACTGCTGCCGAAACACGTGAGAGATGACGATAAAGACTCCGCCGAGAAAACTGTGACTGCCGACCTCGCTGTAACGGTTTGACGGCGTTGAAGTGACAGCCTTAGTCGATACGGGTGCAGACCATAAAGCAGATATTCTCATGCGGACAGCAAGAGAAAACAAGTTGTATGCCACAGGAGGTAGAATTAGTATTAATGAGTGAACGATTGGCAGACGAACTTAAGAAAGTCAGGATGGAATGGACGGGCCCATATATCCGAAATGCTGGAGGCCAGATAATGACTCCCACCGGAAAATGTACAGCAGACTCACAATTGGGAATGCAGCTTTTGTAGCCACATTTCTGATCCTACCGGAGTGCTGCAAACCTATGATACTGGGAATGGACTTCTTAAGAGAGTACGGTGCTGTGGTTAACATACGCGATGGTGTGATCACATTCGCCGCTGACAAGTCTGTGACCCAAGATCCAGACCAAGAACCCAGGTGTTACGTGTGTTGACGATGACGTCTGCGTGCCACCGCTGTCTTGTAGTCTTGTTTCTGTGTGTTGTGACGTGGACTGTAATGAAGACGCCATAGCCGAACGCATCACTGCCCTACTTTTTCGCCAAGGCATCGCCATCGCTCGCGGCATCGTCAGCTTAGTGATGGGCGCGCAGAGGTGCTTCTGACCAACTTCACGAATGAGCGCCGGCACATCGGTAAAGGCACGGCTGTGGCGTACCTCGAGAGCTCGACTACTCTCACGACTGTCTTCTTATGCAAGGGGAAGCCACAGCCCAATCACCTCCACATACACCACCAGTTGATATCGGTCCGAGTTCAACACCGACTGAAAGATGCTGTCTTATGGAGCTGCTCGACCAGTTCAAGGACTGCTTCTCATCGACATCACGAGTGGGTCGAACGCCTCTGACTAAGCATCGCATCATTACGGAAGACACAGCAAGACCGATCCGACAGAACCCATATCGCGTTGCTCAGAAAGAACGTGAGGTAATCCAGCAGCAAGTCAAGAAGATGCTAGAGGATGATGTAATCCAACCATCGAAGAGTCCTTGGGCATCGCCAGTGGTTCTCGTGAAAAAGAAAGATGGCAGCTTGCGTTTCTGCATCGATTATCGTAAGCTGAACCATGTTACAAAAAAGACGTTTATCCATTACCACGGATTGATGACTCTTTGGACAGGCTACGGCATGCTCGCTACTTCTCGTCAATGGACCTTAAAAGTGGATACTGGCAAATAGAAGTAGATGAGCGCGACCGAGAAAAGACCGCATTCGTGACGCCAGACGGCTTTATGAATTCAAAGTCCTCCCTTTCGGTCTATGCTCAGCCCCAGCCACGTTTCAGAGACTAATGGATACCATTCTGTCCGGCCTGAAATGGAAAACATGCCTTGTGTACCTCGACGACGTGATCGTTTTTTCGGCCATCGTTTGAAGAGCATCTAAAGCGGCTACTGTCAGTCCTTCAAGCCATACGGTCCGCTGGACTCACACTGAAACCGGAAAAATGCCACTTCGGCTTCGAAGAACTCCAGTTCCTGGGACACGTGATCAGTCGCGAAGGTGTGAAGCCTGACCCAGATAAAACGGCAGCCGTCGCAAAGTTCGCAAGGCCTGTTGATAAGAAAGCGGTCAGCGTTTTCTGGGTCTCTGCGCCTACTACCGGCGATTTATAGCAGGCTTTGCACACATCGCCTCTCCACTCACCCCCTTACAAGGGAAGACATTGCATTTGTATGGGGTGAAGAGCAAGAAGCTTCGTTCAACGAGCTGCGACAGCGTCTACAAACTCCACCTGTCCTCGCTCACTTCGACGAGAATGCACCACAGCCATCCATACAGACGCCAGCAATGTGGGCCTAGGCGCTGTTCTTGTCCAATGCCAAGATGGTATGGAGAGAGTGGTCGCCTACGCTAGCAGAACGTTGACACGTGCCGAGTCTAACTACTCAACAACGGAGAAGGAGTGTCTGGCCGTCGTCTGGGCAGTTGCGAAGTTCCGCCCGTACTTATATGGCCGCGCCTTCCAAGTCGTAAGCGACCATCATTCTCTTTGTTGGTTGACCAACATGAAAGACCCATCTGGACGTTTAGCACGATGGAGCTTACGGCTCCAAGAGTACGACATGGCCGTAGTTTACAAGTCCGGAAGGCAACACTTAGACGCCGACTGTTTGTCAAGGTCTCCGATTGAATCACCGGCTATAGAGGATGATGATTTCCCAGGTTTTTTAGGAGTTGTCGATGCAGCTATCATTCTCGGCAACAACAAGATGATCGGGAGCTCAACTCGCTTATAGAATTCTTGAACGGACGGGCCGCCAATGCACCAAGAGTGTTTTCGAAGAACTTAATCGTCATTTGTTTACGGGACGGAATTCTGTACAAAAAGAACTTTTCATCAACAGGTAGAAGCTATCTGCTGGTAGTTCCTGGAGCTCTCCGCAGCGAAATATTACAAGCCTGCCATGACGAAGCCACTGCGGGCCACCTCGGTTTCACAAGAACACTGACACGCATCAAAGAAAAATATTACTGGCCAAGAATCGCTGCAGAGGT